AAAGAGAGATATAGCTATCGAATAGAGATTACATCGTGACCTTTCTGAGAAGGGCACAATACCATTAGACACAACAACGTTAGCGGAGAACGCAGTAACCAAATCACAAGAAAAGTATTACAGGACAAAGTGTATCAAAGCAACTCATGAAACACCATCACTTACCAACCACATTTAGAGCAACTGCGCTTGACTCTACCACTATCGCACTAGAATCCATCAAGTACATTGAGTAGGTGTAATCATCATTTCTCTGTACGTTCTTTAGTATTAGTGTTGCAGGAAGTAAGGCCTCGAATTCAATTGTCGAGTTTGGATAGAACGCTGTCCCATTCTTGTTTGTTGATAATTGTTCAAGAGTACCAGGTTTCTCTTTCCAAAATTGAACGAAATACGAACTCGGTGCATCAGAATACAGCCACTCAAGTCTGAGTCGATTGCTGTTTACTCCTAATACTACATTAACATTGGAAGGAGGTCTTTTGCTGATTCTGAATGGCACTGAAGGAGGAAAACAGAAACTATTCAACTAAACTATTTAACACATCACGCGTTACTACAAAAGTTTCGAAGTTCATTTGTCAATACATTTAGGGATGTGTTTCGGTCTGTCGAATTATTGTAGAGCTTTATCTAAAATCGAAACTAAAACTAACATCTCATCTATAGATTAATCGTTAAAGTAGATTAAACGTTATACTCGCTTTTGGATGACAACAACTTTGCTAGAATATTCATTAGAGGCATTTTTCTAAGCAGTGAGTCTATAAGTTATATAAGGTCACATTAAGGATTTGTAGAAATTAATGACTACAGATGATGTAACAGAGTATCACAGCTCAGCAATCATTCCTGTGGTGTTACTTATTTTAGCGATAAGGTAGTCAACGTGGTGGTTTTTCCAAGAGAGATTTTCACTAATCATAACACCTAAATATCCTATGTGGCTCTCATGCTCTAAAGTGACTCTTCTGTTTGTTTCACAATCAAATATACTTATTTGTGGATCGGAAAATAAAGGATTTTATTTTGTGAAGTCAGAATAATTACAAGATCTGATTTTTTTATAATCAGACTCAATCTTGTCGTCGTTGGCCTGTCTTGTAAATTTTTAAGTGCAGCATTAATCGTCTGTTCTAAAGACCTGACGTCCTCTTCAGCGTAAAGGATATTGGTGTGTATCGTAACACAGTTCTGGATAAAAGACGGCCAATAATAACCAAGAGCCCGAGCAAGACCAGAATGTTAAATACTCAGGTGTCAGGTACTTGCCATTATTTCTTCAAATATATTAACTTTCCAAGTGTTACATTTGCGCGCACGAGTGTTTACTATTTTCAAACGTGTTTGCATGTTAGGTGTAAAAACAAAGTCAACGGTGGAATGCATTGAGCGGATAATGGTATTGGTCATACCGAACCTTGTCTTTAAAAGGTTTCCTCGTGAATTTGAGATTTATTTCAATAATACTGTTAGCACAAAGTTACGGAAGTATCATAAATGGATTTGTAAATGTTGCGAAAGTAAAAAAAATATGTTAGTATTAACACTACTGCGCAGCGGCGAAAGATAAATGAACAGAAGACGACATCACCTACCCTTGTTAGACTGAGATCGTGTCGTTTACAAACGTCACACCCTTAAAGAGTACCGTCCTAGAAAATACCCATTTTGTATAAGCAAAAATTGACGAAATGTGGTATGGACTCGATTATAGCGGAGAACGAAAAAAATAATACTCGCCAAAACGTGAAGAGAAAGCTGAGGCATAAAATTTTGACTCCTCAACTCCTCATTCAAGCCATTTTCAAGCATTGCATAAACATAAAACGTACAATTTCATGCCTAAAATGTTTCTTTTGCGAGTGGACGTTGATAGTGACTTTCTTTTCAAGAACAAAGCTCAACAGAAGGCGAACGTTCGCGTGCAGTTGCCCCAGCATGTACGAGTCTGTTGACCTATAATTCAGTTAGGCTTAGAAAACAAACTTCTTTACGCAAAATTAAATCATTTATACATCATTCATTATTCACTTCTGCGAAGTTTAATTGTTAGCCTCTTTTCTCCTTTGTCAGACCCGGTTTTCATCAGGCACCCTTGATGCACACATATTGGGGATGGACTGTTATTTTCAAATCATAAACTCGATACTAACAAACAAAAAAACAGTTCGTAACTCATCGGTTACTTCGCTTAGCATGCTTTAGTTTTTGATTGAAGGTTTTCATCAGGCACGTGCAGACATATTGGGGATGGACTGTTATTTTCAAATCATAAACTCGATACCAGCAAAAAAAAAACACTTCGCAACTCATCGGTTACTTCGCTTAGCATGCTTTAGTTTTTGATTAAAGGTAAGGGGGTCTAAAGACCTTTACATCCTATATTTCCTAAGGCCTTTGTAAATTTTTGCATTCAAGTAAAATTGATATAGAGCGATTGGCTCTTAGCTGAGGCCGAACTTCTTGTCAGGGGAACAGCTGGAAAAGAACACGAAATATTTAAGCATTAATTCACGTGTTGAAAAAAGTAGCAAAAGAAATAAAACATAACATTAAAAGATAAAATAATCTGCAAACATTTGGACAGAATATGACTCAAGTAAGATTGAATTTCGACTAACAGTTTATTTATTGTCTCTTACCTGTGGTTGTAGCGTTTGTACAGGGAAAAGCTGGAAAAGAGCAAGTAATCATTGGGATATATATGAGTCACTTGCATGGTAAAAGGGAAACAAAATATTCAACTACAAATTCAGAATTTCTTGAAATAATAGTAACTTCGGGATAAAGCAAACAGTCGTATATGAGCACGATCCTTCGCAGTAAAGCACTATTTGAGCAATAGTGAAAATCAGACCTGAAAAAAAATTTCAGGCCTGTACGGGGATTCGAACCACTGACCTCTGCGATACTAGTGCAGCGCTCTACCAATTGAGCTAACAAGCCAACTGGGAGCAGGCCATCAAATTAATTCGACATAAACCCGTAGATGATAAATCAAACAACAACAAACATATGAAACATATGTGTGAACTGCGGTTATGAGACGTATATGAGCACGATCCTTCGCAGTAAAGCACTATTTGAGCAATAGTGAAAATCAGACCTGAAAAAAA